TCAGTATTCCAGTGTGTGAATCAGACTGCTCGTTTCCCAATTTTCCAGAGTGCTTTTCTTCACTTCAGGTCTGGTAAGTCACCCAACTCAGGCTCAGTCAGATCTCAGGGCTCCCTTGAAAGCAGGGGTTCACTTAGGTCCTGGGTAGACTTCCAGGTTGTTCCCTCGACTGACTTGAATTCAAAGGTTGCAGAACAGTTTTGTTCTTAAATAAATTTATTTGGTGAAAAAAAAAATTGTTCCTGAGTCCTCTTTTCGCTTTACCCTCTCTCATGGTGTTCTCACCAGCTTCATGGGTTCAACTATCACCTGTATGTAGATGCCTCCCAGATCTTTAAATAGTCAAGGGTCATAAACATTTATACTGAACTCTGGTCCTGTATGCCCAGCTTCCAATCAAACATTTCTAATTATATGTCCTTTAGGCAGCTCAACATACCCCAACATATCCCTCCCGTATCTTGCCATATCCCACAGAATTCATTATTTTCCTCCAAAGCATCCTCTCTTCTTGTTAAGGGTACCCCCATTTTGCTAGCCCCTCAGTTTCACAATCTTAGAGTGTCTTCTACTCTTCCCTCTCTCCCACATACCATTTGTCAATTCTATCTACACAATATTGCTCTCTTCCTTCCCATTCTCTCCATTCGCACCACAACTACCCTACTTTAGGCCTTTATCACCCCTCAGTCGTAATATTGCAATAGCCTAACTGGTCTCCCTGCCTATCCCCTCTCCCCTCTCCAACCCACCTTCCATACAGATGCCAAATTGATATTCTTAAAGCACAGATCTGACCAGGTCATTCCCCTGCTCAAGAAGTTCCAGTGGCTCCCTCTTTCCTCTAGGACAAATTATAAAATCTTCTCTTGGGCATTTGAAGCCCCTTACAATGTTGTTCCAACCTACCTTTCCAGGCTTACTACATATCACTACCCTTCACACACTGTCTGTTCTAGCCGATTTGGCCCACTTGGTATTCCCTATAGATGACATTCCCTCTCCTGCCTTTACACAGATAATCTCTGTTCCATCTCTGTACCTTTATATAATCTGTCCCTCATGCCTAGAATATGCTCCCTACTCATTTCTGCCGTATATAATCCATTCTTCCTTAAAACTTCAACTCAGCCAGCATCTTTTACAGATAGTCTATCCTGATCACCCCAATTGCTAGTGATTTCCTTCCCCCCTCCCAGGAAATTATGTTTTGCTAATCCGTATAGTTTTTATCTACTTTTCTGTGTATACACTGTTTTCACCCAAAGAATATAAGCTCCTTAGATGTTGTTCCAGGGTCATTAGGACTTAATATACGTTACAAGGAGAACTATGCTAGGCCTATCACCATTGGCTCTTCCTTTGGATTCTAAGGCTGACCTTTAACTGAAATTTTATGCAGAAATTATAAAGTAGGTTCTGAGATGATACTTCTACTTCCAGCTAATGGAACCATTAATAAAGGGATAAACATTAGCATGCAAAGTTCTATGAGAAGTCAATAGCATATTTCTTTTTTTGCAAGAAATCAATTATTATAGTTCATTTGTAGATAATTTTTTGCTCTTTGAAAAAATATGTAGTATTATTCCAATGAGAACGTGAACTGAAAAACATTTTACACTTTTTTTCTCATTTGAGCAAATATGGCTATAACAGTTGGCAAGTATGAGAGTATACACAGCTGTGTCTGTCAACAATGAAAATATGGAACTCAAAGTTGTGGGATGGCAATATAAATAAATTGTAGTCGTAAAAAAAAAAAAAATAAGCTCCTTGAGGGAAAGAATTGCTTTACTACTGTCATATCCCCAGTACCTGGCACATGGTAAGCACTTAGTAAATGCTATTGGCCATAAATGAAAAATAGCTTCATTCTGCCCTCCAGGGCCAAATAAAACACATTTCATCTCTCTTCCACATGACAGCCCTTCAAATACTTGAGGAAAGACATCGTGCTCCTCCTTCCCCTTTCTATAAACCAATTAAAAATTTCACAAGTCTTTCTTATCCTTTCTCTCTCAATTATAGAAGAAAGTTAGCATAAGAGCATTATTCACGTTTAAGTAATTCCAGAAACACAGTTCATCAGTACTTTAGAATGCAAAGCCTTCTAAAAGGAGACCATTCCTGATTAATGTTTCAAGAAGTCTATGATAGACGATTACTTTGCTTTAAAAACTACTCAACCGGGTAGTTGTTGTTGTTTAGCTCCACCAGGAGGATTCAGTCTCAAAGGTATGTTTGAGTGGCCCTGTTTTTAGTGGAATTTCCCTCCCCAGATAGCTCTTCCTGTTTAGATTTTGCCAAGTTAATTTATCTTTCCTTATGAGATGCTGTTCATGTATGAGATTATCTTTCCGGTGTGTGGCTTAAGTAGCTTTGGCTCCAAGGGGAAAAGAACAGCAGCTAGCTACTAGTCGCTCACTTCTTTGTATAGGGCTGGAGTTGCATCAAAAGGGCCCCTGAGAAGCAGTAAGTATCCAAGGGAAGGAGGTGAGAAGAGGAAGCAGAGGAACTAGCAAAGAAATTCTTTTCTTGGGTAGTTATGAATGACAAACTCCTTTAATTTGATATTGTAAAGACAGAGAAAAATCCCTTTTAAGAAAAAGTCTTTTAAGAAGCTTGGCCCCAAAGAAGAGAAAGATGTCTTCTGCCATTTATATGCAGAAGTCGGGGCTGACCAGTGTGGAAATATTGCCTAAAATGCTGATTTCTTTTTCTGTCAGTTTTGCTGATTTATTTTTTCTTCAAAAAAAATTTTTTTGTTGTTATAAGGGATGGAGGTGGGGTGGGAAAAGAGACAGGGGGAATTCTAGGAGATGTAAAAAACAAAAGATATCAATAAAGGCCTATTTAAAAATAAAGAAGCTTCTTCTGGGAGCAAAATTGTTATTTAAAAGAGACAGGACTGCATGGATCTAAGTAATCATTTTTCTCATTTAGGAAGAAAACAGATCCCCACCACCACCACCACCATCATCACCACCACCGTTCCCAAAGTATAGGGATGGGGAAGGAATACTATGGGAGGGGGCTGAGGGGTGTGTCTCTTAATGAAAGACACAGGAAAACTTTAGCTGTACAGTAAACTCTCAAGTCATCCATGCCAAACTAGCGACACTATGATATGGATAATTCCTTATCTTTGAAATGATCTATGCGTGGGCTTGTGGGTTCCTTTTAATAGCAAATTCAGCGTTCTCATTTTAGCTTGCTTTGTCCAATACTAAAGGGAGTTAGCAGTTCTTCATAACTTATGGCAACTTAATACAGATGAAGGAATTCAAATTGGTATTCAAAATTGGCCAGTGAGGAGCCACAATTGATGAACCCATGCATATAATCAGGAGCTGACTATAATTGACAAGCACAATCAAAAATTTCCAACGTGTTCTGAAGGCTAAGTAGGATTTCGTATCTGTAGCAAGTTCTCTTAATCAGTGACAACAGCAGGATGTAAGGGATGTTATTAATTGGAGCATACCGCCTTCCTCTTGCCCCTAGCATCAAGATGATATCCCAGAACAGGCCTAGAAAATTCATTCCAGGGCCCTATTTGCCCAGTGGCCTGCATTAGAGAAAGGGTGTAACTGGTTTGCTAACATTGACGGCTCTGCCCAAGGGACCAGTGTTACAGCTGCTTGAACCATTTATTCCTAAAACACAGATCTGACCGTGTCATGAAGGAATATGAGCATTTCAAAACCTTCAACTGCTTCCTATTGCCTCTAAGAGAAAACACAAATTCCCCAGACTGACATCTAAACCCCTCCATTGGCTGGCTCCCACTAACTTCTATACCTATATTTCATATCACTCCCTTTTCCTGTTCCAAATTGGTCAGCTAGCTGTTCTCCGAATATGACTGCCCATCTCCTACTTCCCTAGCGCCCCTTACCCCTTTTGCCTCTTAGAAAAGATGGCTTGAGATCGAAGCATACTATTTGCTATTTTTTTCCTTCTGTTTTGTTTTGTTTCCTCTTTCTTGTGGTTCCTCCTATTGGTTCTAATTCCTCCTTACAACATCACTAATGTGAAAATATGTTTAATAGGAATGTATATGTATAGGCTATATCAGATTTCGAGTCGTCTTGGGGAGGGAGGGGGAGAAAAATTTAAAACTCAAAGGCTTATGGAAGTGATTGTTGACAACAAAACAGGGGTAGCTATGTGGTGCAGTGGATAGAGCACCGGCCCTGAAGTCAGAGGGACCTGAGTTCAATTCCAGTCTCAGACGAAACACTTGACGCTTACTAGCTGCGTGACCCTGGGCAAGTCACTTAATCCCAATTGCCTAAAAAAACAATAATAATAATGATTCAAAAAAAATTAATTTTTTTAAAAAAAGAAAAGATGGCTTGAGTCTCACCCCCACCCTCCCCCTACACGAGTCCTTTTCTGATCCTGTACTCTCTCCTAGTCAGTAATGTTCTTTCTTCCTTTTGAAGTTACGTCGAGTATATTTAATGAACTAGCTATATCTCCTCAGAAGAAGATACCCTCTTTGAAGGCAGAGACTGCCCTAGCGGCTAGCACCGCTCCTGGCACACAGTAGGTGCCTAAAAGGGGCGGGCTCAAGTGCAGTAGAATGCGAACCAATTGGGCAGGCCTGCGTGTGGCGCTTTTCTACACATGCCCCCGGCGGCCTCTGGGAGCCGCGCGTTCCCAGACAGAACCCCGAGTCTGACAGTCACCCCTGTCTCAGGTAGCCCCCGGCCCCTCTCTTATCACGGGCTCATTAACGCGCGCTCTCCCTCAGCCCGGCCCAGCCGAGAGAGCTGCCCCAGAGCGTTCAATGAGGGCCCCCCCACCCCGCCCCAACCAAACCCCAGGCACTAAGCACTGGGTCCCTAGCCCCTCAGGAGCCCAAGCCGGAAAGCAATCCGTCCGAGCGGCCCGCCTTTGCCAGAGGAACCAATGGGGGCTCTCTACGTCACGGAGAGGGCGGGACAACGCGAAGGCGCCCTCCAAACGGCTACGCTATTGGTGCCGGTGGCATTCGCTCACTGAGGGGGCCGCTGGTGTCTTGTTGGAAGGTGGCCCTCGGGACATCCGGACGGTAGAGTTGTAGCGACGGCCAGCCCTCCCCCCTGTCCTCCTGGCTGCAGTGTTCTTGCGCCCTCCTAACGCCGTTTCCCCAGGTGTGAAGTCTCCCCTGGGACCAGGCATCTGGATCCATGCCCGGCCAAGTAGGCCAGCCAGCGCGGGGACCGGAACGAGTCTCCTGCCGGGCTGGGGATGGGACTAGGGGTAGGGAGTGCGTGGCCGGGAAAGCGGGACTTCCCGAGAGTTCCAGTCCGGAGCCCGGAGCGGGGCCGGGCTAGAGGTGCCTGAGCCCACTGCGGGAGGCAGGTGGCGGGGGCGGGATGGGGGTGCAGCGGCGGCCGGTCCCACCTCCTTCCCCTCCCATCCTACCCACTCTCCGACTTTATCTCGGCCTTTCTTTCCCGGCCACCCCTCCTGGGAGCGGGGAGACATGAGCAGCAACCGGCGAGACGACAATGATCAGTTCAACGAACAGTTGCGGCTCCAGCAACTCTACGAGGAGCGCACCAGGATGCCCGAGGGCAATGATCCCTACACTTATGTGGACCAAGCCAGTGGCACTGCTTACGAATGGGACCTGGACAAGAAGGCTTGGTTTCCCAAGGTATGCGTGGCTGGGGGCTCCTGGGCTGGGGATTAGGGAGTGGGAATGGGGGGGGGGCTGGCCGTGGGACCCCATGTGAGGCAGCAGCTGCTGCTGTTTGACTTGATCTTCTGCGGCTTTTTAGTGAATCCGTTTCCAAAGTTCCTGGTCACCTTCTAACTTTCCAGGCTTAGTTTCGATTTGCTCTGTTGCCAGTTCATTCATTCTTTCATTTATTTAATTGCATTTCTTCCCGGGCTTATGACTTATTCCCCAAAAAAGGCAGTGTCGAGAAACAACTAGATAGTGGCTGAGCCCAGGGAGGACCTTCCTTGGCAGCTTAGGGTATCAGGTTTTCAACTTGGTCTTTGTACAAGATGCAAAGTTTTCAGTTGGTTAGATGAAAGCAGTGGCCTTGGATTAGGCTAAAACTTATAATGGCCGTGATAATAGTTGACTTGGTGGGCAGCTTTGCTTACTTACAACTTAAGAACCATCCTCAGGTTGGACTTTTCCAATAAGCCACTGTTTGCTTTCTGCTTTTATTTTGTCCCTGGGCATGAATAGTTGATCCATATAACTTTTGAGAGTATTTCTAGAGACTTAGATGGTGAGTTTTTCCAATTATACGTATGGATCTTTTCCAAGCAATATTGGGTTTGAGTACCTTGAATTTCTTGGCTATTCTGCCAAAAATGAAAGAAGTTCATTTCTTCTTCATTTGGGACTATTATTCCAACTTGAAAAAGAAGAAATCAAAAACAGTGTATTCGTATAACACATTTATTAAGCACCTATGTGGCAGGCCCTCTAAGCGCTGGGATGCAGAAAGCGGCAAAAGACCGCGCCCCTTAAGCGGCTCACAATCTAACAGGAGAGACAAAAAGCAAAGAAGTGTGAACAAACAAGCTTTTTACCAGATAAATAGGAAATAATTAAGAGAAGGAAGACACTAGAATGAAGAAGTGTTAGAAATTAAATATTTAAAGTATGAGTCCTGAGAAAAGGGGGGTGGAGGCAGGGTGAGAATCTGAAACTGAAAATTGAATAGGAAAAAAATTTTTAATAACTATGGAACAGATCAAGTATTTGGAAGACACACAGGAATTATGTTCATATACTTGTAAAACATCTTTACAGAAATAAAGACAGACTTTAATTGGAGAGATTAAATTGTTCATGATTAGACCACATTAATATGGTCTAATAATATGATTAGACCACAAAATATATGACAATACTACCTAAATTAATTTACTTATCTAGTGCCATAATAATTAAACCACCATTGGGTTACTTTATAAAGCTGGGGGAGAAATTCATCTAGAGGAGCAAAAGATCAAGAATCTCAAGGGAAATAATGAAGAGGGGAAGAAAGTGGGAGGGAAGAGGACCTAGCAATAATACTAGGCCTCAAACTATAAAGCAGTAATTTTCAAAACTACTTGGTACTGGCTGAAACAAGGAAAAATTGATAAGTGGAACAGATTAGGTACGTGAGACCTAGAGACAAAAAAGAAAAGATCATCGATAAAAAATTTAAAGAAAATGAACAGAAAAGATCAAAAGGAGGTTCAGAGGCAACAGACAATCAAAGTTGTTTGGAATAACCATGCTGAACTGAATGTATACTTAATGAAAAGCAAGCTGTAGGGAATGAGATTCACAATTTCATATACTGTACTTTGTAAAGAACGCATGTAAAATATTTGTAAATTTGTAAAAAAAAACCCACCATTTTTGAAAATGAAAATATTCATGTTTATTGATTTTTCTCAAGTTCAGAATTAAAAAATTAAAATTATACAAAAAAGAAAAAAATTAAAATATGAGTATATAAAATAGGTGGAAAAAAGGGACCCAAGAACATACTACCTGGCTTGTGAACCTCCAATGACAAGAACTCCATTTTAGATATTTTAAGTTTTAATTATGTATATACAGGTTGTCTCCAAAGTCTTAGTGAAGTGTTATGCTATTGAAGTTTATTAAGAGCATCTCTTCCTCTTCTCCTTACCCTCTTTCTTCTCCTTCCTCTTCTCCTTCTCTTCTTTCTCCTCCTCCTCCTTTTATTAAAGCTTATTAGTAACTATTAAAGACTTTTGGAAAGCTAAAAACTTTATTAAGACTCTAGGGATAGGAGCAGTTATGCGGTACAGTGAATAGAGCACTGGCTCCGGAGTCAGGAGGACCTGAGTTCAAATCCAGCCACAGACACATAACACTCATTAGCTGTGTGACTCTGGGCAAGTCTCTTAACCCCAAATGCCTTACCAAAAAAAAAAAAGACTCTAGGGATACCCTGTATGTATTTAAATTTCTTTGAACCTCAGTAACCTGTTCTGTTTGTATTCAATTTCTATCTTTATAATGCTAGTTCAAGTTCACATTTTTTTCAGTCATCTTTTTTGAGTATGTTGAGTACTTTTTGAGTAACTTTGAGTACCTTTCATAGTAGTCTGAACTTTGATTGACTTATTCATCATGTAAAAAAAGGCATACTAAGTCTGCCTCTCCATAAACTTTTAGCTTCTAATTTTTTCCTCATTCCTAAGATTGATTGGAATAACGACTTGATTGGTATGAAGATAGTACTCCAGTTTTTCCTTTGTGCAGTGATACTTTACCTGCATGATACCTGTAGATAGCTGCAACCTGGTAGTGGCATCCTCATTTTAGTTTGAAACACATTGATAAAGTGACATTTTTAATGATAATGAGACAAAACTGAAATTTAGTCTAAATCAATGTCCTGTACACTCAACCAGGGTACCATTCTAAGTCTCTGTGTGTACTTAAAATTATTAAATAGTAAATATGTATATTAAATATATATTATACACACCGTATATGTATATGTATACAACCATGTATGTACACACATGTGTACATGCGCATATACATACATGTGTATCTCTGTGTGTCTGATCAATGTTATGACAAAAACTTGGTGAGCTGCCAATTTTAATGTCCCCCTAATCACATTTGTTTCATCTGTTGCTCTTGTAGTATGCAGGGTTTCTGATGGAAAAAAAAAACAGAGCTGAGTAAAATATATTCATCTCCACTTACAAAAATGGATATGAAACAATGCACAAAACAAAGTGAAAACGGTGCCAAGAGAATTCAGAAGTGCCCTGATGCTTGGTGGTTCAAAATTTGTTCTGGCATCCTGATTGCCCACAGATCATCTGTTATTAACACATGCTTTCCATATGTTCAAGTGGTCTGGCATTTTGTACACTTCACTGCCATAACCATTGTTAGTAGGAGCCTGTCTACATTACCATAATTTGTTATACTGTGGTTGAGGGAATAACAAAGTTAGGATGTGTTTACATATTTGAATTTCCTTTTAGATAACTCAAGATTTCGTTGCTACATTTCAAGCCAATTATGAGTTCCCTGCGGATAGTACTTCTTCTTCTCATACAAAAAAAGAGAATAAGGCTGATGTCAGTGTAAAAGCTGAAGGGAGACCTGCTTATAAAAAAGCCACACAAAATATTGGAAAAAAGCAGAAAGGAGAAAAAAGAAAGCCTGAACCAGGTAGGCGGCTGTCTGTCATACAAAATGTGATAGCTCAAAAAAAAAAAACTTTGACCCTAAATCTTTAGAGCATAGCAATAGCTTTTAGGGAAATAACAGTAGAAAATCTTTTTTAAGTAGTTTTTAGAATTTTTTAGAATCAAGATAAGCCAACCTACCTTTTCAAATTAGTGCCTTGAAAATAAATAAATTGCACAGCTCAGAAGCACTTTGAAAAGGAAGTTAAGGATTTGGATTGTTTTGTATGGTGATCTAAGTTCCCAGATAAATGAAGGCTAGAAGAGACAGCCCAGGGCAGCTGGGAAAGTGCTGGTTTGGAGCCCCAAGCTCTGGGTTTGCAGCTCTGCCCTTTTGCCCCACTGTGAGTATCTCCTCCCCAACCCTCCCCCCCAAGTCACCTTACCACTCTGAGTGAGTTTCCGCATCTGTAAGATAAAGGGGGCAAGTGGGCTCAGTGACCTAGAACCTTCTGGCTCTAAATCTGGGATGTTGGAAGCTTAGAGCAACCACCACCCTAATAAGTTTCTGTGCTCTGGGCCTCATAAATTTCATTTTATTTTCAGGATGGTTTCAAGTTCAAGAGAAAAGAAATACAAATGTTTATGTTACTGGTAAGTACCTTCTTTTTTTTTGGGGGGGGGGTTGTTAGGCAATGGGGTTAAGTGACTTGCCCAGGGTCACACAGCTAGTAAGTGTTATGTGTCTGAGGCTGGATTTGAACTCAGGTCCTCCTGACTCCAAGGCCGAAGCTGTATCCACTGGGCCACCTAGCTGCTCCCTTAAGTACCTCCTAAAAAGGGCATCTTCCATATTATATTATGATAGAAAATCTTTGGTTTTTAACGTAATTTTGGTTTTCTTCAAGTGTATATTTTATGTTAAAGTTTGGCATGCTTGTATTTGGAAACCCATCTGACAGTGACAAATGTGTATTTACTATTAAATTTGGTAATAGGAAAAATCAAATGTAAAATTCACAGTGGGCAGCTTTTCTGCCATCCCATTTGGGATCTCAAGCAAAGTTAATCCTGCAAACTTGGTGGTACTACATATATGAAGAGCTAGTTCAAGGTCGAGTAGTGTGGTAGACTTCCTGGCTTTGGATTCTACCTTGGACGTTGACTGTGTACACAGACTAGTTATTTGCTTCCTTTGGGCCTCAGTTTCTTCATCTATAAAATTCGAGGGGGTGTTGTTTTAGGTGATCTGTAAGGTCCCTTCTAGCTCTAGATCCTATGATATAGGATAAATAATTGAAATACACACACACACACACACACACACACACACACACACACACACACACACAGGTTTGAGTAAATAACATAGGCCTTCCTAAGAAAATCCTATGTGATTGAGATTTAGCATACAATTAGACATTCTAAATTTTGAGCAGCTAAATTCTAGATATAATGGTTTAATTTTGTTATATACATAACAGTTTCCCTCAATGTAGTTTGAAATTACATTGCACAATGTAGTTACCGTGAAAATCACAGCTTCTTTACCTTCTGAGTCATTAACTTTTTACTTTCCTTAGCTGTGGAAGTGGTTTTAAAAAACAGTAAATGGAAGTGTTATTGTGTAAGGGTATGTAAGGGATACAAATACCTACAAACACTGGATTTTGTTTTAACTATTTTTGCTAATTTAATGGATAAGGGTGGTACTTTAAATTTGATTTTAATTTTTTTGTTGTGTAGAATTTTTAAATTTTAATATAGTCAAGTGAATGTGTCTCCTGAATATTCTTGAAGATTCAGATGGCACAGTATCAGTTCATGGGCATTTCTGATTGGTAGAATGCCTGGGTGAACTAGCTTTTATGAGAACTACAGCTATACTCTAACTGTCTGAAAAACACTGCAGTGTCTTTGTTAACTTTGCAGGCTTACCTCCAGACATTACAAAGGATGAATTTGTACAGCTTATGTCCAAATGTGGCATTATCATGAAAGATCCCGGAACGGAAGAATATAAAATCAAGCTTTATAAAGATAAACAAGGAAATCTCAAAGGAGATGGGCTTTGCTGTTATTTGAAGGTCAGTTACATAGATAAGATGGAGATTTGAGAATCTTAACTTGTGACTTGACACTAAGCTTTGATAGATGCTGTTGACTGCCTCAAAATAGCATGATCGAGGTGTGAGGGAAACTGAAATTTCAGTTTGCATGTGTGGACCACATTTAGTAGAGTTTATTTGTGGCCTTGCCAATGAATTTATCTTGTCTAGCTAGACTAGTAAGGAGTTTGTACCTTTCACATTTACTGCTTTGAATTTTTTTTTTCAAACTGAAGAAGGGAGTGTGTGGTTAATAAAAATTGGGAGTTGATTAATAACAGCATGGACCTCCCAGGGGAAACAATGGCAGAATCAGCAAACATTTACGGAACACCTGCTGTGTAAGCAAGATTGGCTTAGGACAGGGGTGGGGAACCTGCAGCCTTGAGGCCACCTGTGGCCTTCTAGGTCCTCGGGTGCAGCCTATTGACTGAGCCCAAGTTTTATAGGACAAATCCTTTTGTTAAGGGGATTTGTTCTGTGAAGTTTGGATTCAGTCAGAGGGCCAAGCTTGAGGACCTAGAGGACCACAGGTGGCCTTGAGGCCACAGGTTCCCCACCCCTGGGTTAGGACCTCCTGGAGAAGATAGGAGAAATAGAAGACAAAAATTCTTGTCCGTGAGGAACTTAGCAGTCCAATGGTAGTGTTAACAAAATGAGATGCAGCAACTTGAAAGTAGCTGCAGACTGACATCGAGAACAAAATAATGCCCCTCCCTCCAGATTAAACCCAGGTGTACTGTGTGCATGTACAGTGGGGTAAGGAGCATCTGATCAAGACTGGGGTGGAACAGTCAGGGAAGAAATGCTATGGGGGCTTTTTGAGCTGGGTCTTGAATGTGATAGATTTGGAAATTACCACGAAAGTATCATGCAATCAAATACAAGGAAATTTGTAGGCATTTTACAAGCTGATTTTTAGGATTATTAAATTCTTTTACCAGTGTGTACATAAATACTTGTTGAGATTAGTTTGGACCAGATGGCATTTTTAAAAGAGAAATGGGCCCCCTGAGAAACTTGATTTGGAGATAATGGAGGACTTCAAAAATTGCTCCACTGGCAGCTTGAAAGGTAGAGAGATGTCAGTAAGTAGAGCCTAGACAGGAGGGATTCGAGTGTCAGAGCATCGTCTTTCAGGCCGAGTGTTGCTGAGTCCTTCTTGCCATTTCATTCCTTGTCTCTGTCAGTTCTACTTTCAAAGCTTCAAGCACTACTTTAACAGTACTCCCCATTCGTGTAAGAGCCAACATCATAAAACTTATTTCACATAAAAACACCTTGCAATTTTCAGCTGATCATAGAGCTGAGTTAGACAGAAATTGGAAGACAAGATATTACCAATCGCATGAATCATCTGGGCCTTTAGCTATAAGGATCATAAAAATTTAAAGCAATAAGGGATATTAGAGGTAATCTTGTCCATCTAACCACCCTCATTTTACAGATGAGAAAATGGAGGCCACAAGAAGGGAAGTTAAGGCCATACACTAACTAGTTAGTGGCAGAGCCAGGACTAGAAACCAAGTTTCCTGACACACAACTCAGTGTTTTTTCCACTACACCAAATTAGTTGCTTATTTTACATTATTACATTACGTTATTGGTGTATGTTTCTGGGATGTGCGTCTCTCGTGGAAATAATTTTTATGATTTCTCTTGTTTCAGAATAGAACATAACAGATTTTATTTTGCGTTCAAATAGAGAGAATCTGTCGGTTTAGCATTAAAGCTTCTAGATGATGATGAAATCAGAGGCTACAGACTGCATGTCGAAAAGGCAAAGTTTCAGCTCAAGGGTGAATATGATGCCAGTAAAAAGAAGAAGAGATGCAAAGACTACAAGAAAAAGATATCTCTGCAACAAAAGTTGGTGTTGACTTTTTCCTGTAGGCATTGTTATTTGGGGGCAGTGTTTCACATTAAGAATCGTGGCTAAAACACGCTAACAACTTTTGGCAATAAGAATTGCATTGCTTTATTCCTCCAAACAAATGCATGTGATTTCATATAAATGCCGTCTGTACAATGGCATTCTTTCCTAGAGAACTAGAGATGACCAAGAACCTTACAGGGGGTGGTTAACGACAGGGAGATTTAAAAAAAAATACCAACAGGGAGATTTGAGGTTGGTTTTTTCCCCTCCAGTGCTAGAAATGCATTCTGTTTATTTGCAATATAAATAAGATTTTTTTAAAAGTACCGTGCGTAACATTGGTTCTTTTATATTCTTTAACCTAAGAAATTCTTTATTAATTAGATGCTTATTAAAATCCAACTACCAAAGCTTAAATAGATAATCATCAGGAAACTGAAACTGTGTAAAAATCTAGTTCTTTTTAGAAAGTAGCCAAAGTAACACATTTGTGTTGATTTTGGAGGAACTCTAAAATTGTAGTGGAATTGGTGGATTTGCCCTTAAAGTCAAGAAAGTCAAGGATGAGCAGCCCCCCCCCCGTTTCTTAGTATCTCACATGAGTGAAGTATGTGAATGCAGCACAAAGAGCTTATTTTTTATGTGTGTCCATAAAACCAGAAGAGACTTCAAAGACAATTACTATAAGTAAGTTCTCTTTCACAAATGACATTGGCGTTTTGAAATAAATACTAACTTTATAAACCAGGAGTGGTTCTGCAAGAAAAAAAAAAAAGGTAGCCCTGGGCTACTCTCAGGATCTGGGTTTCTGGGACCTTCAGCACATGTTTGTTTTTATTTCCCAATGGTCTCTGGTGAACTGAAGAAAATAGGGATTTGTATTTGTATTAAAGGCAAAGAATCATTTGTCAAGGCAGCCAGGTGGTGCAGTGGATAGAGTACCAGGCCTGAAGTCAGGAGTACCTGACTTCAGTTCCGGCCTCAGATCAAACACTTGATACTTACTAGCTGTGTGACTCTAGGGAAGTCACTTAACCCCAATTGCCTAAAAAAAAAAAAAAGAATCATTTGTCACTATTGATCGCCCAGTGAGGGAGAATATTAACAAATGAGATTTTTCTCCAATAAACATTCGCAAAAATGCAAAGGAAGCCATGCTATCTTATTGTTGTTCATTTCTATTAGACGGCTGGACTGGCGGCCTGAGAAGAACACTGGCACAGCTCAAATGCAACGTGAGCAGGTTGTTATTATCAAGAACATGTTCCATCCTAAGGATTTTGAGGTGAGGCGTTTCAATCCTTCCTAGCAGATGCTTTGCTATCATGATGATGATTGTTCTCTTTGTATTGTTATTTAAGGTTTACAGAGCTCTCACTCCATGTGCATGTGCCTTCTTGAATGATGCTTGACAGCTTGGGGGATGGGCTTCGGGTAGCATCATGCTTTCTTGGAGGATTCCAAAGTCAACATCTCTCCAACTGACCAATTCCACATGTATAAGTAGTAGAGGCAGACAAATTAAAATGGTGGAGCCATGAAATTAATCCAGGTTTCCTTTTGCTTAGGCTGAACTTAAAGCCTCAAATAACTAATTGGGGAAAACAATGAAAAATGGCCATTAAAAGATTTACAGATAGAGGGCAATAAATGACTTTGGGTTTGGACAGAAGTTGATTTGTAAAGTATTAGGACTCGTTACTTAGTGAGGTACTATTTTCAGAGAATCCCAAAATTCACCGCCATTAAGAGGATTTTGGGGTAGTTAATGCCCAGGTAGATAGATATCCTAGGATCATAGCATGTAAAACTATAGAAGGGACTTTAGCAGTCATCCCATCTAACTCCCTAGTCCCGATTGGTAAAGTGACTTGCCCCAAGTCACTAGCTAGAAAATAATAGAACCAGGATTTGAGCCCCAGTCTTCAGACTCCAAATCTGTTGGGTTTTTTTCCACCACAATACACTGATCCAGAGAAAGCAGAGAAACCAGGAGAGACATAATAGATATTAATTCACAGTTCATTCCTTCAATTTAACTTGGTCTAGAACCCAGGTCTCTTAAGTGAAGGAGTCTCCACTGTTTCTCCTCTGTGGAGTGCAGAGGTGATGTCTGCCCTTTTTGATCATGTGCCTGTGGTAGAGAGGAGTAGATACCAGAGTGCCTTCATTCATCTTTAGCACCTTTCCCAGCTTTGTGATCTCGGGCAAATCATTCCACCTTCTTGGGCCATACTTTCCTCTTGTGTAGAATGAAGAGGCTAGACTCAGTGGCCTCAAGGTCCCTTCTAGCTCCCGATCTTGGCTCCTTTGACCTGTGACCTTCTAGGTACTTTCTTTCTCCTATGATCATGTCAGAATTCGAAGAATAGCCAAGTGCCTTCTGACTTAGAGGCTGCTGTGCCCTTGTTCATTGGCCTCCCTGCATTTCATCATGCCAGCATACAGGTTGGTCTGCACATTTGAAAAATAACTTAAAAGGCTTAGAACACATTTTGAAGTTGTGTTCTTCTGTTGCAAGTGCTCAACATAGGAACTTGCTTTTCCTTGGATCACTTTTGGTGGGCAAAGGTTGAGTTTCCTAAAGGATAGAGATTATTAGCACTAGACATTCTCAGTTAAAGCTGATCTCAATCACCAGACAAGGTGGGGGTTTCCAAAAGTAACAAGTAGCTCCCCTCCCCTTTGGGGTACTTTTATATACCAGACAGCTGAAGGGTGTTAGAAGTAATGAGCTTAAAAATACCTTTTAACATCGGGGCAAATGACAAATGTTCATTTTTCTTTGACATGAGAGGACTTTCTATATATAATTTCTAGCCTTCTTAAAGATAAATCAGCTGACAAAGAGCTCTAAGAAAAGATTGAAAACTGAGGTCCAACAGTGGGTGTATTTCAGGTTCACTATTAAGTGCATCCAACTCAGGGGTGGCGAACCTGCGGCCTCGAGGCCACACGTGGCCCTCTAGGTCCTCAGATGTGGCCCTTTGACTGAATCCAGGCTTCACAGAGACACAACTCTGTATACTTATGATGAAATTTTAAGCACATTGCATTAATGTCACTTTAGAAATTATGACCACTCTGTAAGAAGAGATGATCTTACCCACTAGAGTCATCTGCTAAGAACAGTTTATTAGGGCCTTGATCTTGTTTTAAAGAATTTGAGGACTCTATTGTCCTATAATTAATCAATTAGCTACTGATCATTGAGTGCCTGTAATAACAATAATTTATTTTAGCGGCTTTGGAGTTTACAAAACAGTTTATATGCCTCATCTCATTTAAGCCTTACAACAACCCTTTGAAATTGGTACTGTAGGTATTATTATCCCTGTTTTCTAGATGAAGAAACTGAGGCAGACAGAGATTTGATGACTTGCCCAGGGTCACATAGCTAGTGATTGGAGTCTGTGAAGTTTGGATTCAGTCAAAGGGCCACACTTGAGAAACTAGAGGGCCACGTGCGGCCTGAAGGCCACAAGTTCCCCACCCCTGGCCTAGACCTCCTTTAAGGAATAGCAGCTTCCATTTCCGTCAGGAAAAAAGAAATACCACCAGCTCCCATGGGAAAAAAAAAACATAGCCTGGAAAACAAATAATAAATGGCTAGAGATGGCTTTCTGAAATTTTAATGGCTATGAAGCTTTTTACTGTAGGACTTTGGCTACATAAATAGAGACAGACCTTATCGCTTCTGAGAATAAAGAGGTAAGGGTTCCTCTGTCTTCTGTCCTAATCACACCACATCTGGAGTATTGGATTCATTCATGGGTACCACATTTCAAGAATATCAGTAAGCTGAAATAACGTTCAGAGGAAGGTAACCAGAATGATGAAGAGCCTTGAGTTCATGCTATTCAGGAGCAGGTGAAGGAAATGAGATTGTTCTTTCAAGGAAAAGCAACATGTAGTCAAAGTAGCTAGAGCACCAGACTTGGGATTTGAACCCCACTGCAAACACTCATTAGTGATATGACAAGTTACTTAAACCTCTCTGGGCCTCAGTTTCCACATCTGTAAAATGGACTTACACTCAATAACCTCTAAGGTCCCTTCCAATTCTAAATCTGTTCACCTGGAGAGAAAACACACAAGAGCTGCCTTCAAGTATTTGAAGGAAGGGCTCTCACATAGAAGAGGGGGGTATACTTGTTTGGGTGCTGTGGGCAAAAAGGCCATTGGAAGCTGGATGTCTGGAAGAACTTCCTATCAGTGAGCACTGTCCCAGAGCGGGTGGGACCCCTTCAGAAGGGAGTATGCATCCCGTCCTTGGAGGTTTGTAAGCAGAAGCTGGAGGATCACTGATCTGGTCTCTACCTTTCAGGCCTAGCTGGACTGAGGTCCTTTCCAGTGGGAAAATTCTGAGACTCATACTTGTTAAAATCCAAAGTGTCTTATTTCAAATTTTCTAAAAATATTTTTGAGAAAAATTTTCCTTTGGGAAGTTGAATAGAGGAATCAAGAATAGCATAGTTTGTTCAAAGTACAAGGATATTACTGATATTCAGAATTAAAAATTGAAGAGGGGCTAGGGTGTCTTTTGTGGCTAAGTATATGTAAACGCCACCCCTTCCCAAGTAATGGAGCTCTTAGCGTTCAGCAAACCAGCAGGCCTGTTGGTGATTGCTACAAAGCTGTCACTTCATTCCAGTGGGCAGGGATTTACATTTCTGCTCTTAAATTTTATTTTAATTACCTCTTAGTAGTGTGTTTATTTTGCTTTTAGGAGAGAGAAGCCTTCAGGAGGGGAAGGCCACTTTTCCATTTACCGTACAAGTAAACTTGTAAAATTTTTAAGAGGGATAAAATGAACTTAAATCTCTCCTGGAGAGTGGAAGCCCATTTAAAGACAATGTAGCTAGGTCCGCGATATTAGAAATTCATAGAGAGAACATGTTCATTTTATTAGCTGTTAAAATAGAAATTGGTCTCATTACCTTTATTCATCAGTTCTTGTGAGCTGAGTCCCATTGCAGAATGATATGTTGATTAAGGGCGGGGGGGGGGGTGGAAGGCGGGGGTATGTTAGGCATGGGGGGGTAGGAAGGACTTACCTGGTTGGACCAGCTGGTTTCTGATGTCTCCTTCCAATGCTGAGATTCTGTGAGCCCAGGACAAGAAACTCGAGTCAAAACTATGTTTGTGCTTTCTTACTGTGTTTGCAGTTCCTACACAAATAGCTCCAGAACTTTTCATTCTGTTTGTGACGTTTCCAGGATCTGCAGTTCTGTGAGTGAGGGCTCTGTCTGCCTCCTCAGATTAAAACCTTGGTACATTATCCCTTGTGTTAATAGAATTCTACCTACCCCACACACCTTTAAGAAAAAACACCAACAAAAGGATGGTGACCCTTTGCTAGGCTGGTCTTCAGGCAGCACACAGGCCATCAGCCTTGAGTTATTGCTCCTAGATTTTCTCATCAGTCTTTAAGAAGCCTCCACACTCCAAGGAGGCCATTTGAGCAGAACTTGCATGGAGCTGTTCTGCTATTACCTCCTTCTTTTGGAGGCTCAGAATGTGTTGTCTCCCTCTATGTTGGAATGTAAGCGCCTCCAGAACAGGGGCTGTCTTGCCTTTTTTCTTAGCCCAGTGCTTTGCAAATGGCAGGCATTTCAGAAATGCTTTTTCATCAGTTCATTTATTTGTAGTTTGTGACAGCTAGATCCTATTCTTTTCAATGTGATAGAGTTCTTTTTTCTCCCACTTAATAGTATTTAATTTTTTCTAATTACATGTAAAGATAATTTTTTTTAAGGCAATTGGGATTAAGTGACTTGCCCAGGGTCACACAGCTAGTAAGTGTCAAGTGTTTGGTCTGAGGCCAGATTTAAAGATAATTTTCGACATTCACTTTTATAAAATTTTGAGTTCCAAATTTTCTTCTCCTTCCCTCCTCAAGATAGCATGCAATCTGATATAGGTTATACATGTACAATCATATTAAACATATTTCCACAGTAGTCATGTTGTGAAAGAAGAATCAGAATAAAAGGGAAAAACCATGAGAAAGAAAAAAACAAAAAAGAAGTTAAAATAGTATGCTTTGATCTGCATTCTGACTCCATAGTTCTTTCTCTGGATGTGGATAGCATTTTCCATCATGAGTCTTTTGCAGTTGTCTTAGATCATTGTTTTGCTGAGAAGAGCTAAGTCTATCAAAGTCGGTCATCACACGATGTTGCTGTTACTATGTACAATGTTCTCCTGGTTCTGCTCACTTCACTCAGCATCAGTCCATACAAGTCTTTCCAGGCTTTTCTGAAGTCTGCCTGCTCATCATTTCTTATAGTACATTACATTCATATACCACAACTTGTTTAGCCATTCTGCAATTGATGGGCATCTCAGTTTCCAATTCTCGGCCACCACAAAAAGAGCTCCTATAACTATTTTTGTACGTGAGTCCTTTTCCCATTTTTATGGTCTCTTTGGGATACAGACCTGGTAGTGCTGTTGCTGGTTCAAAGGGTATGCAGTTTTATAGCCCTTTGGGCATAGTTCCAAGTTCCTCTCCAGAATGGTTGGGTCAATTCACAGCTGTGGAGGAGTTCTAAAATGGAACCTGGTGGTGTGATAGGCAATTTAAGAATTGTATCCTCCTTTGTTTACTGAATGGTCTATCAGGCTTTTGGTAATTTAGGTAAAAAAGAATCTACCCCAAATGGGTGCTCATTGATTTAAAAATAGGCAGTGTCATCAATAACATCCTACATGTGTAGAAGGAAAGTGAGGCTATAGAGTAGTGGTGTGAGGCTTCAGGCAATGTTGCTGGGTGTTGCTGATGCTAAGCACTACTACAGTCTTGTAGTAGGCGCCCAAAGCTGTGGTCACTACATAACTAGAATGTGACCTGATGCCATGCCGGATAAGTTCAAGGAAATGGCCATCTTCTGCTTGCAGGAGGGAAGACTTGAGGGTGGCAGGTCAGGGAACTGAAGATACACAAGTTAAATGGCTTTTTCTGTTCACATCTAGAATGGTAGAAAATGCCTACAATGGGAGTATTTTCTGAGGCCTGGGTTGCATTATGGGCAGATCATTTCTCGCTGGACCTCAGTTTCCTCATCTGTCAAATGAGAGGCTTGAAGAAGCTAGCTTTAGATTTTCTTACTTCAGTCCTTCCAGCTCTGTGCTTGGATGTTCTTCTCAGGTGGTGAAAATACATGGAGATCATGTGAGTGTTGTTTTCATAGTTTGGGTATTTGTTTCACCAACGCAAAGCTATAACCTCTCTCCAGTCCTTCTCATTCTCTGTTCATGTTTGAATGAACAAACACACCTCAACACCTCTCCACAGCCCACTGGAGGACTTATTCTTTTCATGTCTTGAGAGGCACTGGTGTAGAGCACAGACCATTGGCCATAGATTGCCTCCTATGCTACTTCTCACACCAGAGTCACTGTTGGGAATGTGCCAGCCTACTTATGTCCACTATATGGCCATCATTGCCCTTTGAATTCTTTATCATCCTCATCCATCTGGGACCTTGGAATTCTAGGAATCTCAGCCAAATAGCAACATCACAAGGAATATTCATGTTAAGCAGAAGGGCTTTTGCAGAAAAGCTGTGTGGTTTCTTGGTCATTTCCTTCGCAATTCTCGGCCCAGATCCTCATATGTGTCTAGCACTTGTAGGGATGTACTTAGCAACAGGCTGATTTTACAGAGTGCACATCCAACTGCATTTTAAAAGTAGGGCAGAGAGGCTGACTTCAGAAAAACCTGGAAAGACTTATATGGTCTGATACTGAGTGAAGTGAGCAGAATCAAGAGGACTTTGTACACAATAACAGCCACGTTATGCAAGGACTAAGATTGTTAAACTGAACCCTTCTCAGCATTACGAGGATCTAAGACATTTCCAGAGGCCTCGGGATGGATAATGCTGTCCACATCCAAAGAAAGAACTATGGAAGTCGAATCGCTATCACTTATTTTTACCTTCTGTTGAGTTTTGTTTCCTCTTTCTGATGGTTCCTCCTCTTGGTTTTAATTTTTCCTTACAACTTCACTAATGTGAAAATATGTTTCATGGGTATGTAAATGTAAAGCCTATATCAGATTGTGCGCCGTCTTGGGGAGGGTGGGGGGGAGGAAGGGGGAGAAAACTTTTCAACTCAAAAGCATATGGAAGTGATTGTTGATAAATCAAAATAAATTAATTTAAAAAAAAAAAGTAGGGCACAGAGGCAGCTAGGTGGCACAGTGAATAGAGCACCAGCCCTGAAGTCAGGAAGATTTGAGTTCAAATCCAGCCTCAGACCAAACACTTGACACTTACTAGCTGTGTGACCCTGGGCAAGTCACTTAACCCCAATTGCCTAAAAAAAGAGAAAAGCTGGGCACACTGTTGTTCATCTGCTTGGTTTTTCCAGTGTGAATGGTCTGACCATTCTATTCTCTTAAAATTACTATGGATTTTGCTGAGACTTTGTAATGTTTCAGACCTTAGTATAATTAGCATGGTATGATTTGTCAATAGGAATATTTGGAGAATATTTCTACTGATAGGAAATCTTTCATGGCAATGCCAAACACGTCTCCTTGTCTGACACCTCTCTTAATGTTAATATTCGGTGGGCCCTTGAATGAGGCTCTCTCTCTAGCTGTCATTCTTGTGTTTCTTTAATTTTGACATGTGAGAGACTTTGAAGAGAATTGTGAAGGCTACATTTTGTTCCGTCTGAACATATAATGCTTTCCTAAACCATAACCAGGCCTAATTGTAAATATAAAAACTGCTTTCCAGAAGCAGAGTATGCTTGTAGAATAGTTTTCTAGCTTCGTTTCCTTTTTTAAGAAAGGAAATGGGTTTGAAAGCTTTCTGTTTGAGACAGAAATGTGTTTAACCATGTGCAATCTTTGCAGGAGGATCCATTAGTGCTAAATGAGATCAGGGAAGACCTCCAAACAGAATGTGAGAAGTTTGGACAAGTAAAGAAAGCTCTTCTCTTTGATGTAAGTGATGACCCAATTAGACAAAAATTACTCAAAAATAATCTTCCAGCTAACAGGCCTTAATGTGCATCCGGAGTTTGGAATCCCTTTCTACCTAATAGGCCTCCTTATCTAGTCATAAAGAGGCTTAGTGGAGAGAAGAGGTCTGTCCCCACATCCAGGAAGGCCTGGGCTCAGCTCCCTTCCCTACCAGATCCTGGCTGGGGAATCCTAGGAAAGTTGCTTCATTTCTCAGTGCCCCAGGCAACTCAGAGTCTCTAAGTTTCCTCCAAAGTCCCAGCTTGTATTGACAGAGGGAGTCTCTTCATCTGGGAGCTCCCTAAACAGGGAAAAGCACAGGTCCAGCCTCCTCCCCTCATTTAGTCATAAGTATGTATCTCATAGGGCAGGTAGGTAGTGCTGCAGTGGCTAGAATGCTGGGCCTGGAGTCAGGAAGACTCGTCTTCCCTGAATTCAAATCCAGCCTCAGACCCTTATTAGGTGTGTGACCCTGACAAAGTCGTTTCACCCTGTTTGCCTCAGTTTCCTCATCTGTAAAATGAGCTGGAGAAGGAAATGGCAAACCACTCCAGTGTCTTTGCCAAGAGTCAGACCCAACTAAAACAACTGCATGACAACAAAAATGTGTTCTATGAGGAACCAGAAGAGACTTATCAGTGTATACCAGCACTCCTTATAAGGCCATCTGGTGTTTGTCAAGAAATAAGAATTTATTAGCCATAGTTTTATCTGCCTAGATAATTTTCCTTCAACTTAAGGGCTAGACCTCTGACCAGGTTCAGGAAAGGACAGAAAAAACTTGGTCTGTGGTAACCCACCCTTCCCCCCTCCTTTCTTTGCATATTTCCCCTTGACCTTGCATTTTGACAAAGGAAAATGTTTTCCCCTCTGTAGTTCCCACCCACATGCTTTGAAACCCCAACCTTTGTTTTTAATAGCAAGTTCTCCTGTTGCAATATGTTTATTTCTTATTAGGGAAGATAGAAGGTTAAATTTGAGGAGTAATCAGTGACACCTAGTCAGTACTCACCACTTTGCCAGCTCCCCTCCTTATCTTGTCTTTCTCATGCATGTGACTTCCCATCTAGCAAGACACTCGAAAATGACTGTAGCGGCTTCTGCCCTATTTCAGAAAGAAGCAACAAACCTGAAATTGAAATGGAATCCCAAATGTACAAACTACTTTTCAATTACAAACCCTTCTCCTTTCTCTGCTTCCCATCTTTTGCCAACCCTCACATAAGCCATCTCACTTCAAAGAGTGTTTTTTTCTTCCCACACCGAGCATTGAGAAATTGCTAAAGTGGGGGAAGGGACCTCTAGGTGATCTAGGGTGCACATGGTACCTTGTGCCACTGACTGCTGTGCAACTTGTAGTCACTGCCCTTTAGTAAATAATTTGGAAAATCTCCAAAACAAAGTTTTCAGGGAATGGGGATGGGGCAGACCCAGCATCCAGGACGGGCCCCCATGACACTGCTTAAATCCCTATTCTATAGGCCAGATATCAGGGAAGAGAGCCGGGAAGTGTGCCAGTAAAGAGACCAACCACTGTTGGTCCTCAGTGTGTAGAAAGTGCTTGAAATCTTTTGTCTCCCCCACCTAGATTAGTTGGGGGAGGGGAGCAGCGCATTTTAGTTATGCCCCGTTTTTTCCCTTTCCAGAGACACCCAGATGGCGTGGCCTCTGTGTCATATAAAGAGCCAGAGGAAGCCAATCTCTGTATACAAGCCCTCAACGGGAGGTGGTTTGGTGGCCGTCAGTTAAATGTGGAAGTGTGGGATGGTGTGACAGATTATCAGGTGAGACCTATAGCTTTCCAGTCTCCCTTTTCCTTCTGCCTATCTCCTCCCCATGTCCTATGTTCAGGCAGGATATTAATGATCTGCAAAAATGAAGCGATCGTAATTTTGTTTGACATAAGGATACTGACTATAGTAGATCTTCACACTTAGACTTTAGGTTCTATTTCATCAGTTTAATGTGACAAGTCATTTTCATTAATATTTTTTACCTGTGACATTGTGGGACGCATTGTGAGGTATGAGGAGCATGAATCACGGTCTTCTACCGTGAAAGACCAAAATGAAGAGTGGAAACTAAATCTTGAGTCTTAGTTGGAACAAATAGGTAGTAGTTAAAAGCAGTAGCAATGTAGAATCAGACAGTTCTTTCCATTTGGGGTTATAAGTTTGTTTTTGGGGGTTTTTTGTGTTTTGGGTTTTTTTTTTTTTACATCAGTGATCTCAATTTCAGTTGAAGTATAGAGAGTAGGGGGCAGCTAGGTAGTGCAGTGGATAGAGCTCCAGCCTTGGAGTCAGGAGGACCTGAGTTCAAATCTGGCCTCAAACACTTGACGCTTACTAGCTGTGTGACCCTGGGCAAGACACTTAACCCCAATTGCCTCACCAAAAAGCAAAACAAAGAAAAATGAAGTATAGGGAGTGCCCAACAGCCATTTAAGGAAATTGATCCTCTGTCAGATTTTAGATACCAAATATAAGGTAAATGAATTGAGATTAGATTTTTCTCAGATTATGAATTTGATAATATTGTTACCTATTATTAATATTTATGTACTTCTCCGATAAGTTTATCAGAATACTAAATCCTATAGAAATTTCATATACAGTAGAAAAAAACTAATAAAGCCAACTCCCCTTTTCAGTCTCCTATACTTTTTCCAGATTTTGTTGTATCTCTTCTTATTACATGAGCTGACCTTTGTGGTATAATTAAGATAAACTGCTCCATAATATTCTGTCGTAATACTAGCTTTGAAGAAGTTAATTGTTTGAGCTATTTCTAATGCTTCTTGTCGCTCTCGAGTTGTTGCCTTGTAGTCAGTTTGGAAGCACTACATGGAAAGCTGACACTTGTTTTGGCTGAAGTGTCTTTACATGGCATGTTCTATTTATGTACAGGTGGAGGAGACATCAAGAGAGAGAGAAGAAAGACCGAAAGGCTGGGAGTCTTTTTTAGATCATCCTAACATCGGGAAAGGAACTCATTCATCACATCCCCATTCTGCCTCTGGAAGTGTGGCCGTAGCAGCAGGGAAAGAGTCCTCAGACAATAGCACACCAAAAGGGCAAACAGAAGAGGAAGTGAGTAAAGGAAAATGCTTCAATGACGGAACCCAGTCTATAGGCAGCAGCCTTGGAGACAGTGAGAATGAAGACACAGGGCACCCTTAATCCCTTACACATGCTCTGTAGGTTGAGGTTTGTTGTATTTCTCTTCCAAGTTGCAGGGCACTTACACTAGTAAGTTCCACTAGTAGTGTTCCACAAATGTATGCATATTAATCAAATGTCTTCAACTTAGCAGTTTTGTGATTTTGATTCAAGTCAGTACTTAATAGAGAACTCCAAATATTTGTTAATTGACCATGTCAGGGTGCAAGTGAACTGGACAAAATCTATTTTTCTGCCAGATCCTTGCATGTATACTGGTGTTTGACATTTATGATCACAGGAAAATTAAAAATTAATTTTGGAATATTGAAATTGGCATATGAACTTAAGGCATAAGTTTTTAAATACATGAAACTGTTAAAGTATTTTTTCTGAAAAAGTTTGTCTTTTCTGAAGACTTAAGTTCTTTAGAATCTGGGCTTTTTGTATAATTTTCCTTTTTTCCCCCCCCTAAAAAAGCATAACGTTAAGTTTTATTGAACCTACAGTGTACAGGAAAAATATTTGATAATTGTCATAGTTAATTTGATGGGGTTTTTTTAATTTAATTTTTGCCATTGTTTGCATTAAATTTGATTTTGATTTCTGCAATATACAAAAGATGCCCACTAAGGGGCATAGTTTCCATTATTAATAGGAAGTGTCCGGTGGGAGATGAACACACCCCTTGGTCTGTCCTTCAAGACTAGTTCTCTGTAACTAACTGTAGTGCCTAGTAAAGTGCTACCCAGTAGGGTCCCAATAAATGTCCACTCAGTCTTTCAAAAGGGAGGCTCACGTTTTTATTCTTATAGACTGGTAATACGAAATCAGAGCTGCTACTTTAAATGCTTCCTTCACTCTAATCAGAGCAGCAATAATATTGTCATTATGGGGCTTTTGAGAAAGTGGAAGAGAATCCAGATCTGTGAAGCCAGTTTTCATTTTAAGGGAAATATTTTTTGTAATCTCTGGAATTTCAATAAAGCCTTAGTGATTTTGGAAGATGAATCTTTTAAAGACCATCTCATTGGCTCAATTCGGGCTTCAGTCATTTGCATTATCACATATATGGAATTCATTGGACTTATATTTTTAGTTTTGAATCCAGTTTACTGTTTCCTGGTTGACTCAGTTTAAGAAAGAACTTGCTAACAGTGAGGGCTGTCCAGTAATGGAAAGGGTCGCCTTATGATGAATTCTCCATCCTTGGAGGTCTTCATTGAAGGGAAATGCCTGGTGGGGAGGGGATTCCTACTTCAGGGAGGGTTGCATTGAACGACCTCTGACAGTTCCTTCCAACTCAGAGCCTTCATCTTAAGCTACCCACAAATGTAAGTTTAAGAATGCAAGGAAGAACATCTCCTTAAAACTTCAAGCCATGCATTTGTGGTCACCACAGTTAGACAAGCCAATATTCAAAGTACAAGGCGAGTTTTGATTAAGAAATAAGCAATCAGTGAGCTATGTTTTATCTTGGTTGCCAGTATGTTGTATTGTTGCTTACATGAAAACCACATTATGAAATGCCTTGTAGTTTTGGCTTATTGCATCCTTATCGCTTTCTCATACAGAAGTAATATACGCCAGCAAAGGAAATTTCAGCCTACTGATCATCGAGGCATCAGTCATCGGAGCTGAAAGGGACCAACTTCAGACTGACTCCAACCCCTATGCTTTTGCTGAGGATCCGTTCTTTCTGTCAAAATTAATCCCAGTGTTTGGGTTTGGTTGTAGGTTAATATGAACGTTTTCATTTGTTTCTTAAAATGAAAACATGTTACTAAAGCAAAGCTTTATAAAAACATTGTGTTCAAGAAACATTATCATTTTTGTATGTAGGAAATGCACCTCTAAAACAGGAAGAAGAACTCAATACTTGAAAGTTGATTTAAAGCTGGTTCCATTTTCTTTCTTTGTCTCCCCAGTGCCCATCATTCTAGGCCCTTGCGTGTGGGTGCCATTGGGGACCAGTTTGGTGTGCGGCTGCACTGAATTGTCCTGGCATTTGGTTTTCACAGTAGTTCTGTGGAGAGGGTGACAATGACTGTTATTTTCCTTTCAAATCAAAAACTTATTTCAAGTGTAAATAAAGTTAATATGTAAATGAACTCTTCTAATCATTCTGATTGATTCACCAATAGCATTCTTTTCTAGTTTGCCATTTCTTCTCTGTGCTGAGCATCCTCACTCTTTAAAGGATTTCTAAGTGCAGAGTCGCTATTCCTCACCCTCATTTTTTGAAGTAGACAATATATAAGAATGTAGGAAACTGCAATTCTTCTCAGACATTTAAACTACTACCTGAAAATGCAAAGCAGTGCGTCCTGGCAGAAGTGGGGACTCCTCGGTACAAGCTGGCCTAGTGCAGCCAGACTCTGACCTACCTCTTCCCCCCTCTTCTGTCCCCCAGCCTTCCATGTATTGGTTGCACCTATTCATTTACCCAGAAGATGAAGTTTCTGTGACCTCATAAAAGCAGTTCCAGTTTTGGTTTGGGAGAAAATCCTGTGAAATTATTGTTCAGTCACATCCGACTCTTTGTGACCCCATTTGGGTTGTTAGGATTTTGGGGGGGGGGGTTGGCAAAGATACTGCCATTTTTGCCATTGCCTTCTCATTTTAAAAATGAGGAAACTGAGGCAAACAGGATGAAGTGACTTGACCAGGATCACACAGCTAATAGGTGTCTGAGGCCGGATTTGAACCATTGAATTAAAAACATTAAACATTTAATATACTTTGGTTTCTAATGCAGTAGTGGTCTAATTAGTTTTCTTATGCTGGTTTTCAAAGTTATTTGTGAATGAGATCCATAGATCAAAACAATGAAAATGACGTGCACACTAAGAATGAGGGCACTAAAGGAAAGCACACCCAAACAAGCTGAAAAACACAGCCCCTTTCAAAAACAAAGGTCAAGGCAGCACCTGCTCAGAATCCCGGAAGAGGGCTAGACCCAGTGGCATTAGGGCTTCCACACATCTATACATGTTTAAAAGGTTATTTCCATATCATTGTAACAAAACAGTTCATTTTCCAAACTTCCCATTGCAACGTTCTCATCACTACCCTTGCAATCACATAAAGAGCTAGTTCAGAGTGTGGACTCCTGGCAGTGAAAACTTTCTTCCAATGGCCTCGTGCCTTCTACTCCCACCATTACACCTTAATACCAGAAATTCCCAAGACATTAAAATAAGCACACACCAATCAATGTAACACAGCAAGATGGCTTATGCTTATTGCCTAAAAATACAGTGGACAGCTCATAAATGCAAAGTAAAAATACCTGAAGCCTTTGAGTATTAGCAATAGAACATCCTCCCTGAACTAGTTACTTGAAAATCTCCAAGCTTGTGATGATTTAGAGCTGACTTGCAATTACAAATGACTTGCAATCGTTGCAGAATTTCCCCCCAGACCTAATTTATGGAGCTAACATATTGTGGATGCAGTCTCTTCCCCTTTAACGTGTTTTTTAAGTAAGTCTTTTTAAAGACAAAAATGCCCAGTATTCCTGGCCTGCACTGGTCTCTCCACTCCCCCCCCACACACACACACACCAAATGCAAAGACAAATTCTATTGAAAGTATCTAGTATGTATTTTAAAAGCCAGACTCAATGGGGGTGGGGAAGGAGGAATTCTGAAATGGAAATTTAATATTTGTTTAGTTTCATTTCCACAATTGCACTTGAATTTGAAGTCACATCTTATTACAATGATTTTCTCCTTTGGGGGATCTTAGGCCTTCTTTCAATTTTTCCCCAATTTCCCCTCAACTTTCCTTAAAAGGAAAAGTAGAATATTCATTGTTTGTTTGTTTTTTTAAGTCTTTGAAAACCTTGACACACACACATTATTATTCAATTAAATTGCTTTAGCCTAGTGGCTTCTCATGATTTGCCACAAGGCCAATCAGAGCCTTAGCCAAACCATTATTTCCAATTAACCCTTTTAAAGTAAGGTCAAGGGGGCATTTGGGGGGCTCCTTCCCTCCCTTTATGCTCAGTAGCCTGCTATGCTATAGCAGTCATAAATTTTATTGCAAATTTGCAAGGTGCTGGGACAATTTAAGCCATGCTCACTGCAGGCTGATCTGAAGCTGCTTGAGTCCTTGTCCTTGTCTTTAAGGACCTAAAAATTTAATAGGGGGAATGGGTTGTAACTCCCATGCCAAGCAGCGCCTTGCATCTAATAAGCATTTTAACAAATGTTGGTTGAAATGAACCTTCTTCGATCAGTGCTCTAAGTGAAATTCAGCTAATTAAAAACATCAGCTTCTTTACAAGCCTTAGCTACGCTAAAAATCTCCTCTGTTTTGATAAGGAAAGTGCAGGGGCTTTACAAATCTCAGGTTTTGACATATAGAGAGACACTGCAAATGAGAAAGAAAAAGAAGTGGGCATATGATAATGTTCCCCAAATTTCTTTTTACTGGCAACCATATCTTTTTTTTTTTAAAGCAGACGTCTGCTCAAAAATATTCCGACTGTATTGGCAAGATGCCATTTTGTTTACATTTGATCATCTGTTATGAAGGAATGAAATCTCTTGTCAGTTAATAATGCGCTTCTGGATGTCCTGCTATCCGTCTGAAAGTTGTTATTATTACAGTACATTTGGATTTTTGAAAATTCCCCCCCCCTTATTTCTGGCTAGTGCACCCACTTAGGCCCCTTAGGTTTTCTCAGCTACTTTCTATACAGCCAAGGAGTGCCTTGAAAAGTATCAGGCTTAGAAATTCTCTCAAGTCAATGCTGAACTGAACTTAATCACACAAATGAAGTGTTTCTGAAAATGGGGAGAGAGGGGCAGCAAAATCTTGTGACTAGAATTCTGGACTTGAAATTAGGAAAATAACATGGGTTCAGACCCTGCCTCTGACACTTAGCACCTGTCTGGCTCTGGGGAAGTCACTTATCCTTTCAGAGCCTCAGTTTCCCAGTTTGCACAATAAACTTTGCAGAATGAACTCTGTAGTACCTACATCACAGGATTATTGCTTATGAAGAGGCTCTGGTGAGAAAATGGACGTAAAAGTACTCTGAAAACTTTTCAAAGACAATAGTACAGAGTTAAGCTTAAATAGCTTAACCCCAGACCAAGATTTTTGGAACACCCTGTAGAAATGTCAAGTACTATATAGTATTAGAGAATAGGATTTTCTGTCTCCCAAGAAAGGCTCACAATTAGAAATTTACTATGTGATCAGATTTCATTGCTGCGTGATAGAATTTGACATGAGTTGAGCTCCATGATCAGAAAAGAGAGAAAGTTAATGAATGTTGTTGTTCAGTCATGTCTGACTTTTCGTGACGCCATTTGGGGTTTTCTTGACAAAGATACTGGAGTGGTTTGCCATTTCCTTCTCCAGCTCATTTTACAGATGAGGAAACTGAGGCAAATAGGGTAAAGTGACTTGCCCAGGGTCACACAGCTTTGGTAAGTGTCTGAAGCCAGATTTGAACTTGAAAAGAGTCTTCCTGACTCCAGGCCTGGTGCTCTATCCACTGTGCCACCCAACAGGAAGACCTGAGTTCAAATCCAGATCCATTATCCTTCCAGTTGTCTATAGTTGCAAATTTCACCTCGTATGACAACTTCACTGGTTCAAGAGTTCTTAACCTGGGGTCTATGAACTTGTTTTTAAAAAAAATTTTTTTTATATTAGAGAAATGCAAATCAAAACAACTTTGAGGTACCATATCATATCTATCTATGAGGTTGGCTAACATGACAAAACAAGAAAATGATAAATGTTGGAGAGGATGTGGGAAAATTGGAACATTAATCCATTGTTGGTGGAGTTGTGAACTGATCCAACCATTTTGGAGAACAATTTGGAACTATGCCCAAAGGGCTATAAAAATGTGCATATCCTTTGACCCAGCAATAGCACCTCTAGGGCTATATCCCAAAGACATCATAAAAATGGGAAAAAGTCCCACGTGTACAAATATATTTATAGCAGCTCTTTTTGTGGTGTCCAAGAATTGGAAATCAGTTGTGGAATGGCTGCACAAGTTGTGGTATATGAATGTGATGGAATGCTATTATGCTGCAAGAAATGATGAGCAAGCGGACTTCAGAAAAACCTGGAAAGACTTGTATGGTCTGATGCTGAGTGAAGTGAGCAGAACCAGGAGAACGTTGTACACAATAACAGCCACATTGTGAGATGACTAACTTTGATGAACTTAACTCTTCTCAGTAATGCAAGGACCTAAGACATCTCCAAAGGCCTCGTGATGGAAAATGCTATCCACATCCAAAGAAAGAACTATGGAGTTTGAATGCAGATGGAAGCATACTATTTGCTCTTTTCTTTTCTCTTCTGTTTTGTTTTGTTTCTTCTTTCTTCTAGTTCCTCCTGTTGGTTCTAATTCTTCTTTACAACATGACTAATGTGAAAAAAACTTTTAATAAGAATGTATATGTAGAGCCTATCTCAGATTGCATGTCATCTTGGGGAGGGAGATGGGGAGGGAGGGGGAGAAAATTTAAAACTCAGAAGCTTATGGAAGTGAATGTTGAAAACTAAAAATAAATTAATAAAAAATGTTTCTATAACTGTGTTTGAACATAATTGGTCTCCTTTGTAATCCTGTGCATTTTATTTTCTGTATTTAAAACATTACTCTGAGAAAGAGTCCATCAGTTTCTGCAGTTTGTTAAAGGGACAGGACACAAAAAAGGTTGAAGACCCCAGGCCTAGATTCCTTCCTCTCCTTCATCCCCCATGTCCAATAAGCTGCCGAGTCCTGTCAATTCTACATCTCTGGCATCTGTCCCTTTCTCTCCATTTAAATGACCGCCATCTTAGTTCAGGTGCTCATCTATGTATTCTTGCCTGAACTCTTGGAATAGCCCTTCTAGTCCCCCTGCCTACAAGCTTCTGTGGTTCCCTATTACTTCTAGGGAATACAAATTCAGCCTAGCCCTGAAAGTCTGCATTGACATTCTGTGGCCCTGCTTGGAGCATTCATACAAGCTAACCTCTATGCCTAGGATGTATTATTCCCTCCTCATCTCCACCTCTTTAATGTTATTTTTTTTAATTCTGAACTTCACAGAAATGCTTAAAAGCAAACATTTCTATATACACA